CACTGGACCAGCAGTTACAGATCCTGCATTGGACCCACCTAGGCCCTCTGCATGTGTATGACAATTGTGCAGTTTTGTCTCTTAGGAAGGCTTTTAACAGTTTGAATGGGACCTCTCCCTGGTGCTTAATGAGTTTTGTGCAACTTGTTTCACATGCCGGATTACCTTGCTGTGGGATTATGCTGTTGTACCTATAAAGATTTCCATCTTCTATTGGTTTAATAAAATGCTGATTGGCCAGTAGCCAGGAAGGAAGTATAGGTGGAGTGACCAGACTAAGAAGATTCTGGAAAGAGGAAAGTCTTCATCTGCAGTCACCAGCTAGACACAGAAGAAGCAAGATGAGAATACCTCATTAGTAAGGTACTAAGCCATGGCTAAATATAGATAAGAATTATGGGTTAATTTAAGCTGTAAGAGGTAGTTAGTAATAGGCCTGAACTAATAGGCCAACCAGTTGTTTATAATTAATATAAGTCTCTATGTGTATCTTTGGGACTGAACAGTTATGGGACCAAAGGGTACAGAAACTTCCACTTAAATTACCTGGCCCCTCCTCAACATAAGGGGAGGAGCTTGGTACTGCCTCAACTTGATGTTCCATGCTTTGTGCAAGTCCATGGGAGGCCTGCCCCTTTCTAAATGGAGATGGAGGAGGAGCAGACGAGTAGGAGGGGAAAGGAGGAGAGGAGGGAGAGGAAACTGGTTGGTATGTAAAATAAGTGAAATATCATTTAAGTAATAAAAAAGAAAAAACAGATTTTGAAAAAGAATATTGAAATTTTTTTTCTTCTCATCACATATATTTATAAATGTCTTTATGTACCTTTATGCACAGGGCATCTTTTGTGCATGTGTAGTACTAGCATTCAAACTCAGGGATTGCACACACTAAACAGGTGGTCTACTATTGAGCTATACTACCAGTCCAAATGTATTTCCTTGTTACCTGTGGTTCTCACTGACCTTGTCTCATAGTCATCTATAAACTTGATTTGTATGACTAAATTAGTCATTCATTGTTGTAAATTGAAAATAACCCTCAGTGGAGTAGCCTTATAACTCAATCTTTGAATATGCTTATAAAATATGAAAAGTGTAAAAGTACTAGAGTTATTGAAAAATATATGTCAATAGCTGATATGGCTCTTTAAAAGAGGCTCCTCCAGGCAGTTGCCAATCAGTAAGTACTAGAGAAAGGAAAACCAGTTTTCTTCCAGGTGAAGGGCATGAGATACTAACCCATGCTCCAGTATCTGGTCCTAAATATGTGTACATAAAGATATAAAAAACAAAACACATGAAGTAGTGAGGAAAAAACAGTTGATGGATGGAGTAGAGAAGAAATTGTAGAACAAGTAATAGATAGATTCTATCAAAACATATTATATTTATGTATAAAATTTTCAAACAATAATAAAGGAGGACAAATTGCTTCTTCACTGAGCATTCATAGAAAGGCCAGAGGTTGAAGTGGGGTGTTTTCATTGATAACTCACTTTCTACCTTATTTTTTTGAGACAATGTCTCTCCCTTACTGAAACCAGAAGTTAATGATTTGACAAGAGCAGTTGGTCACCCAGCTCTAGAGATCTTTGTATCTCTGTTCCCCAATGCTGTGACTCCAGGCATGAGCCTCTTTGGTAAACTATTACTTCTTAATCTGGTGTTGGTGATCTGAATCTGGTACTAATGCATAAGTATCCTCACTAGAGAAGTGAGGGTGATGATCCCTAATAATAGCTAACTTAGAAAGGCTATGATAATTAATTAATATACACTCAGGAATATAAAGCAATCTTATTCCAAAAGAGAACCTTTCAGAAGCATAGTGAGTCTGTCTTCTCTTTACTTCCTCTCTTATTGTGTACTGAGCAGAGCCATGGTAGGGGAGGCCTAGATGAAAGTTTGTTGTCATGATCACCACTGATGAATTTCTGTTTCTGAGGATCTCCTAAAGGATGCTGGCAGACTAAAATGATTCTTTAAAATAATCTTCTGAACCGTGCTCGAGTAAAAGGCAGCGCATGCTGGAACATTTGGGCATCACACATTGGCCTTGACTGGGGGGAGGGCACAAAATTTGCTGGGAAGGGAAGGAGGGTAGGTCTTGGAAGAGGTGGGGAGGGAGGTTGACTATGATCGCAGCACATTGTATGGGATTCTCAAAGAACTCCTCAAAATTTTAAAGTGAACTTTGGAAGTGATTTTGAGATCAAAGATGCTTTCAGCCCTGTCTAAGTTTTATATGTGAATTGGCTTTAATTTTTAAATCACGTAGCTCATGTTTCCTTCTCTTCTTCCCTACCTCCATCCTGTATCAAGCTTTCTGCAGTCAAACTTTTGATTTTTGTTGCTATTGCTTTGAAATTGAAATGATAGTGGGATTTATACAGATGCCATTCAAAGCACCCCTGCTGAGGTCTAGTTTGAAGGGATGTGATGTGCAGCCTCCCTGAGGAAATGCCCCTCATGCTTTCTATGCTGCTTTAGGGTAGGATAAGCCTCTATGTCACAGGGACCTGTACTCAAAACCTAGATTTGCCATTTACTAAAATGTCAAACTACTTAATCCGCCAGAGCCCACCCCATTACTACAATAATGTGAGACATGTGGCTAATATCAGCTTCCTCGTAATTCTGCTGGAAGAATGAAAATAAATGACAACCAAAGGTCTGTCTCTAATCCTTCTTCCTGTTCCGAGAAAATGTCTCAGAAGACAGAAACACAGATGAATACTGGGAGATAAATGTGTTTTAACTTCAAGTTTTTTTTTTTTTCCTGGAAAATTTTCTTGCCATTTAAGATCAACCTGCAAATCACTGGACTTTTCCTTTTACACTGTCACGCCAACCATAAAACTTTCAAAACTTTCTCCAGTGTCATGGATTTGCCAGTCATCATAAATGCTGAGAAAAGCAGTATTATTGAGAATGAGTTTGAGATTTTCAAAGGATCAAATTGCCGTGAAGGAGGCAGTGTGCGATGCAGAGCTGCCGCAGCCGCCTCCAGGTGCATCACTTCCACGCTCCCCGTGCTGATTGAAATATTGATTCTGACTAGTGGATGGCTTTGAATTTTAGGTCTAGATAAAATTACAAAGAGACCATAATTAAGCAGGGGAAACCGAGGGGCCTGGGGAGCTAATCAGAATGTAGGAGTCACAGGGATATAGTGGGGAACTGTTTGTTTCTACTGGCTTTGAGGCAGGTGTGGGTACATGTATGACCTTTTATATATGCAGGCTGTTTCTACACAGAGGCAAGCATGGCTGCTGAACTCACTGTCTGCTCAGTGTTCATCCCCACTGAGGATAGTGGAGCTGTCTGTGCTGCATTTCTTCTGCTTGTAAAATAGGGTTGTTGATAAAATGTGGGCTCTGAACGGATGGGGAAAAATAAGTGACTCACTGTGTATGAAGCAGTGAGCTTCTAGGACGGTCTCAACTGTCGTTATTATAAAGGTGCATGCTAGGCCAATGCCAGGGACTTGGCTTCCAGCTCCAGCCTTTACAGACTGGCATTTGGAGGCTTATGTAATATGTTTTTCCTTCTGAGTCACATTTCCTTCATAGGAAAATGTGAGGATCAAGATAGCGTGGAAAATATCTCCCAGTTTCAGGTGTAATCCTGTAATGCATGACATGCTTTTATATCTTTTTCAAACAGAGAATTATCTGGAAAAATGTAAATTTTCTGTTATCAAATATAGTCCTGCTAGAAATAAGATTATCCCTCTGTCTTATTTGTTTTTTCTTGTCCTTGTGTACAAATATGTGTGTGTGCATGCATGTATATGTGTATATATGTATATGTGTACATATTTATACGTGTGTATGTGTTCATTTGTATGTGTCTGTCTATGTGTGAAGTTTGTTGCTCAGTCATTTCCTTTCTTACTTTTGGGGTCAGGGTATCTCACTGACCTGCAACTTCTTTGTTTAGTTAGGATGGCTGGCCTACAAGGCCCTGGGATCTGCCTGTCTCCGATGTCAAGGATTCCAAATTCATACCAGTTTTTGTATTTTATATTTTATAACAAACATTCAGCTTTTATGACTTGGAATTGATATAGCTGGCCATGCACAGACAGAATAATGTTATTATTAAGTTTATCAATTTTTAATTTTTATTATTTATTTATTTATTTTTCGAGACAGGGTTTTCTGTAGCTTTGGGGCCTGTCCTGGGGCCTTGTAGACCAGGCTGACCTCGAACTCACAGAGATCTGCCTGTCTCTACCTCCTGAGTCCTGGGATTAAAGGCATGTGCCCACTGCTCAGTTAAGCTTATCATTTTTATATGAAACATAAAAAATTAATGATCCTAAAAGAATTTTTTTTGTAGATGGATAGACATTTATTTATATGAGTGCTAGAGATGGAAGTTAGATCACCATGCTTTTTTTGCTAGCATCTAATGACCAAGCCATCTCCCCAACTTTCTCATTTTTAATAATTTCTCTTAGGAATATAGTTCTTTGAATCTTGTAAAATGTGAATGGCATAAAGAGAAAAAGTGAACAAACACAAAACATTGTGCTAACTCTGAGCAACAGGTTCTCATTAAATATTTAAGTGTTTAAATTAAAAAATGTAGGAGCTTTGATTAAGAAAATGTGCTGATTGGGTTGAACATGATGTTAATGAATTAGACTGTGATCCTGTGGGCTGCTCTGACAGAGGGGACCTAAAGGCACAGTCATGAGAGAAAGTGTGTGTGCACACAGGTATATTTGTATGTCTATCCATCTACAAAAATTTCTCTTTAGGATCATTTTTTTTTCTGATTCATATTAAGATGACAAACTCAATATCATTATTCTGTCTGTGAGTGACCATTTATGTCAATTCCAAGTCATAAAAAGTGAATGTTTGTTATATGACTTGTAGATTAATATGAAGAAAATTAATCAAGTCTATAGTCTAAGTTCTTATTTTCTTCATATAGGAACTTACAGAACGTATTCTTGCCTTATATAATGTGGCATTTATTTCCCTGTGTTCACTTGGGCACCTCATATACTAAAACTGGAGCAATAAAAAGAAGATTAACATGATTTCAGTGCAAGGGTGTCATGCAATTTGTGAAGTGTTCCATATTTTTTCAAGTGGGAGGGAGGAAAGGGATGAAGGAGGAAATATAGGGAGAGATACATACAAGTATCGGCCATTTGAGGGATATTATTGGAAACCTAATACAGTAGAAATGTTCTAAAATATATACCTATTTGAAGGCGATATGATGAAATCACCAAATAATAGGGGAGGCAGAGCCCCCAAAAGCCATCTCTTGTCACCAAATAAAGCTTTCTGTATCAGGATGGGTTATATTTAATTGTGTTGTTAACTAAAGGCTCCCATGGGAATTACCAAACAGCCTAGCTGTTGTCAGGACTGTAGGTTGCTCTCAGCAAACTGCCCACAAGTTTCCATTGCTGAAAACAATATCTACATAACTCATTAAACATGGTAAAGTCAAGCAGGTGTCTACATAAAGCCTGTACCTCTATGTTCCAAGTCTTGGGTATGGGAAGGCACTTTGCATGCTCCCTAAAAAGAAATGTAGGAGCTGGAAGGGACAGATAACACCAAGATAACAAGGTCCTCTAAGTTTACACGAGCCAAACTCATATGATCTCGCAGAGACTGAAGCAGCATGCACAGAGCCTATAGGGATCTCCACCAGCTTGCTGTTTTATGTGAAGGACTCTTCAGGGTGCGAACGAGTGGGCCTCTCTTTCCTGTGCCCTCTTTTGTGCTCTTTTCCTTCTGTTTGTTTTGTCCAACTCCAGTGTATTAGTTGTGTTTCATTTTATTATTAGCCCTTAAAGGCCTGTTTGCTTTCTAAGGAGAGACAGAAAGTGAATGGACCCAAATGGAATGGGAGGTGGGAAGGGAGGAGAGGTGGGAGGACCTTGGAGGGGTAGAAGTAGGAGAAGCTGTAATCAGAATATATTATGTGTGAAAAAAATTTATTTTCAATAAAAGAAAAAAGAGAAAACAGGAGAAAGGTATAAAAATAATGGTTGTAAAAAGATTCATATCAATAAGTGATATAGAAATTCAAATAAAAATCATGTATTAATTTTATAATAATAAAGTGAAAAAATCGAGAAAAATAATTCTCTTAATACTATAACTTCCCCACCTCCCACATAAGACCTAGACAAACTGCTGAGAATAGCTTGGTTTAAATCCTAGATTTATCACTTAACTCAGTTTGAAATTTGGCTCTTATCACATCACTGTGCCTCAGTTTCCCCAAATATAAAGTAAGGACAATCATTGGAATTGCTTTATAAAGTTATTGTAAAGGTAACAAGTAATAAAAACAAATATTAAGAAAAATTTCTGGAACAAAGTAAGCACTTAATTAATGCTGTTATTGTTACTACACACACATGTACACACATATGAACACACATGCACGTGAACACACACAGCGGTCTTGATTGCATCTGTGTCTGTAGTTTCCCATCAGAGACTGTAAGAATGAGGTCTCATTTAATTACATAGCATATTAAGTATAATCATATACCTTTTCTTGAACAATGTTTTGCACATTTTTAAAAAATTTTTGAGATTGTATTTTTTTGAATTATGGAATGATATTTATTATAGAATGTATACTATAGAACAGGAAGAATATTTGATATAAGTGAAAACCTACTTATTAATATAGTATGATAAAATGGAAAAACAAAAGAAATGTTTTGTAGTAAGATTTTCTGAATTATGGATAAGTGGGAGGGTCAAGGAATTGCTTAGACAGAATGAACTGGGACCTGAGAAGTGTTTACTCAAGGCTCAAATCCATAATCTAAAAGCATCACCTTGTGCGGTTATACTTTCTTTCAACCACCAACTCCCAGATAATTACACAGAGACTTCTTATTAAGTATGAAAGCTAGGCCTTAGCTTAGGCTTGTTCCCAACTAGCTCTTCTAACTTAAATTGACCTGTTTACATTAATCTACATTCTTCCACATGGCTTGTTACCTCTCCTCAGTACTGTACATACAACTTACCCTGCATCTCACTGGTGAATCCTGCCTCTGTTCTTTCCAGAGTTCCTATCTCTGCCCGGAAGTCCTGCCTATCCTCTCTTGCCTAGTTGTTGGCCATTCACCCATTATTAAAACAATCAGAAGATCTTTTGGCAGAGACGCATCTTCACTGTGTATAAAAAGATAGTTCCACAGCAACTCTGGGTGCCTCTTTTGGTTAACAGTGGCATATTCGATATATTTTTGAGTTTTCTCATTTCTAGACAAAACCAGAAGATTCAAACAAATTCTTTCATACACTGTAGGTGGTTTGCAAAAATAGTTTTGGGTGGAATAATCAGGAAAGGGAAGGATAAATAGAAGAAGCCAAATGTAGTTCTCAGTATTCAAGCCTTCAGTTACTGAGAAAATCTTGTATAGGAAGCTATCTGGGCCGATCCAGGTGCTGACTCAGTCGTCATCTTCCAGTTAGCTTTGCAGAAAGCATGATTTTAATGATACTCAATGAGAAGGTTGTTCCATTTCTACTGCATTATCTTTAGGAGAGGTCCTTTCACTGTGATGGCCACTGTCGTCTTTACTAGCATCTTTTTTTTCACACTAGACCAATACATTAGTCAGGGAACCTGAAGCTCTCTTAACACTTACAAAATGTTGTGCTATCTCTGTGAAGTTAAGTGGCATCTTCTCCGAGTGAGATCTCTGATCAAGGATTTCAGGATCAAAAGGTTTCTGCTATCCAAAATCTTTTACAAGAAATGCCAGAACCAAATGGTCTCTTGAGACACCTTATGAGTGTGTTACACAAAATTGAAAGTTTATCTTCCACTATTGTCACACAGGTGTTTATTGTTTATCAAATTGCATGACCTTGAATGTTCTGTGGAAGGTCAAGGCCTTCAAATCAGGATTAGGATATGATTTCTCAAAAAGATTATTATAGAAATTCTTATTGAGAACTTTCTTGAGATTGCATTTTAATTATTTCATATCTCCCTTCCCTTTACTCTTTCCAATCCCCCTACATACCACGCTCACTGTCTTTCAAATGCAAGTCCTCTTTTTTTCACCAGCTGTTGTTGTGTTTTATATTATTTAAAATCTTTATGTATTTATCGAGATTGTGTTGCTCCCAAAGCTAGTACAATGCATATTTGTTCTTTTCACTGTTTTTTATTTATATTTATAAGATTTAAAGAAAGTTATTATTAAGGAGTGTTACTTCAAATATATATTAATGGATCCAATGTCTGAAAATATCACAAAATTAAATATTTGGGGTAGTTTGAATGTAATTGGCACCCATGAACTCATAGGGAATGGCACTATTTGGAAAAACCAGAATAAAGTATTTATGCTCTGGTAATCCCAGTTCTGAGGAGGTAGAAGCAGTGAATCTTGGAATTCAACTAACCAAGCTTATTGGCCTATTAATAAACTCCAGGACTACAAAGACCCTGTCTCAGAAAAGCAAGGGAGATGACTGCTGAGGAACACCACCAAGACTGATCTCTGGTCTATATATGTTCATGTGCACAACCCACACATAAAAGTGTATCCACATCAGTTATGTGTTCCCAATCAAAATGACTCTACAAAGTGGAAGCTGGAGGGCCTGACAGAAGCTTCTGCCTGATTTTTGCAGCAGTTAGAAATGGCAATGAGCTAAGGCCTTTGAATGTAGCTGGAAAGCAAAAGAAGCATGTCCACGAAAATAAAACATTCAAGTGTTGAGACTTCTGATCTCTAGATCTGTATGGTAAGACTCTGTGCTGTGTTAAGACTCAAAGTTTCTGTCTATTCGTTACAGCAGCACCTCAAAACTGATACAACATGGTAGCGCTTTGTTCTATTCAGAAAGGGAATATTTTGGATGTTTTGTAAGTATCATGAAGAAAAGAATGCTATGATCAATAATTAAATGTTGTGGGCTATTAAGTGTCTTAGAAGATTATGTTCTTACAAATGCAACCTCTTCATCTTCTCTGGGGCAGTTTTATGAAGCTATTTATTTTTTAGATGACAGAATGTGTTTAAAAGTCTTCTTCCCACAGGAATAAGACAGTCTCAAATGCCCACATTTTATGGACATTTTATGGTTTAAAGTGTCCCAGCTCCCCCATAACACTGAAGTAAAAATTGAAATCTCCTAGAAATAATGTATTTTACTAGTCCCTAGAGATGAGTTCTTACTCTAAAGAGCACTATGGTGTTTGAAAGGAATGACAGGCAGTCCATGAAGAAGAAAATTGTTCAGTAGTGGACCCTGCCTTATGCACTTCCTCCCAATACTCATGCCTTCCTGTGTGCCTACAAATAAGAAAACGTCATCAATTAGCAGTGTAGTATAAGATTTCTAGTTGTACCTGAAGCATAACTTCTGCTTTCATGCTGAAAATGTAGTTCAATGATACTGTGGTCTAGTCACCATCTGTATCCAGGGATGAGGCAGAGAGCTTTAGCTCAGTGCATGTTATTGAAAATTATGTGTATGGTTTCCAGTCATAGCCAAACCATGTGCAAAGGAGTATGAACCAAAGCTTTTGAGACAGAAATACTCACTGTAAACACATCTCAAATTTCTACATTTTCTTATACTTTTAAAATCTCACAAGGCCTTTTTATTTGTTTCATTGCTGGTCTCATTTTAAACAGATAAACATGGAGATATCTTTGTAAGCCTCACTCTGGCCTCATCACGATTGGCAGCTCACAGCTTCATAGACTAGACCTAACTTCAGTTACACAAGATCTAGGAATATTAAGAAATAAATCATTGAAAAAAACATGAAGTTTCCTGACTTCTAAGGATTAGGTAGGAATTGAAAGAGTACGGTGATGGAAGTTGTGTATAGATTTGTTTGGAAAGAATATGTGAAACAGTTTTACAAGAGCGATTGTGGACAATACAAGGAAATGCAATACAAGGAAATATGATGGCACCAATGGAAGATAATCCAAAGTTTACCTGTCTGAAATTAAGTACACTAAAGAGAATGATCAAGTATTGGCTGTACATAGGAAGAGATCAAAATGGCAGGAATGTCCTGTACTGTGAAAGAGTAGAATTAAAATTTAGGTTTAGCTGAGACAGTAA